GCTCGCTTCGTTGCCACGTGGGCCAGTGAGTCTCTGTACAGTTGCCAGTTCACTGAACAGTCAGTACACAGGGTGTTGCTGCGGTGACTGAACCGCTGTCTCGTTGCTATAGCTGGCCTGCACATGTCACCGGCTGATGGTTTCGGACACTTGCTGGCGACCCTATTGCTGGCGTCTGCCGCTGGCACCGAGGCCACAAGTGCTTGGACTGCCACAGGACATGCCGTCGGTTCCAGTGAACAACGACGACGAGAGGTGCCGAGATCTTCACGAGCAGCCGGCGTTTGCAATGCATCGAATATGATGGTGCCCGCCTTCGCAAGCGTCGCAGCAGCAGCTGGGCGATGGAGACGTAAGCGGACGGGGCACCGGAGTGGTGCTGCTGGCACCCGGAGAGGCCACCCATTGTCATCGGTGGTTCACTCAGGCCGTGCCAGTGAGTGTTGACTGGTGTTGGTGCTGTTATTATGGCTATCGTGCAGTGCCTAGCCTGCCGACTACAGCGATCTGCATCTGTTCCCGACTTTGTCAAGAGTTCAACGGCTGTGTATATGGTGTCTATCCAGATGCCGATGAAAATGGCTGCTGTGACATCGGTTGCCCAGCAGCAGAGGCCTGCATGCAAGTCCTCTGCACTTGCGTGCGTTTGCCGAAATCTCGCCTTTGACGACAAGTGTTGGCAGCATGCTCAATTGCTTTTATGGTCATGTGACGTGCATGATGTGGCGCGTTAAAGAAACAGCGTGCAGAACTGCTGCCCCATGTAGGTATGCATATGAGCAGATATATATTATTTTTTGCATCATGAGATCACAGGGATCCTAGCACTACAGCAGTACATGCACGATGGTAATTCTCTCCACGAAAGAGGAGGAGGTGTGCGACCCCGGTTGTAATATGAAATGCTGCAAGAAACGTTGCACAGAACGCCCCTTGCAGAGAGGTAGGTGCATTTCTTGAGAGCAGATATGAGCACAGAAGCTACGTGTGCACGACTACAAACCAATGCTATGCCGTTAACGTCGGGGGTGCCAGCGCGACCAAGGATGGATTTCGGAGAGCTGGACGGCATGTTGCAGACGGCGCTTTCCCCGACAAGCGAAACCACGACGACAGGCGAGTGACCCTTTCGTCGCACAAGACAAAACATTGTTATTTCTCGCACCATCCGCACTAATGGTATCTTGTTCAAGGACCAGAGGGGGTTCTCGCTTGGCACTTTACCTGCCACCAGCTGCTTATGCTGTGCTGGCTCTCGTTTGATCGCTCAAGATGCTGAACTCACCTTCGTTTGTTTGAGATCACGCACAAACTTAACGGCACCATGGGGTTAAGTGTCAAACCGGCAGGCTCCGGACGTTGTGGCATGTGCAGTGTGTGTTGTCTCCCACCTCGCGACCTCGCGCTCCCTCCCGAACGAAAGGAATGAAACCGTGTTTGAGTGACGCGGTGGATTAAGGGAAGGCGATGAAAGTTGAAATTTAAATAGGGAATCTGGGATTAACAAGCAAAGAGGAGAAAAAGCACGCAAGTGGCAGGGCGGAGGAGGGTGACACAGTAACGGCTTGCAGAAGCCAGACGAGAGTTCAAGTCAAACATAGCAGTTGTGGAGTGTGAAGTTTGCAGAATGAAGGGAATTGCCTTAAGAAGGGAACGGGAGACGTGTAGGGATGAGACATGCTCAGGCAATCACACTTTGAAGTTAATGCCTGCCAAAAATAAAGATCGAAGACAAGAGACGTAACTAAATAAGAATCAAGAAGTGTGAACTACTGCAAGAGCCCAGAGCGCCGATTTTATGTCGATGTACGGAAGAAGGAAAATGCTTCGTCTCGCCAGGAATGCATGGTCAGACGTGAACAGCGCCCCCCCTCCCCCCCTCCGCTTCCCCACTATCACGCAGGCGTGCTACTAGACCCTGCGCAAGAGGATGTCGTTCTTCTCGACCTGGAGACCCCCGCGATTCTCCTTACCGCAGGGGCGGGGACGGGCAAGACGCACACGTTGGCCGCAAGGCTGGCCCGTATTTTAGGCGTCGAACCCCGAAGGCGTACGGAGTTGAGCGTCGACAACCTGACGGCGGTGGAGAAAGCGGGAACGGAGATAGGAGTAGGCGTGGAGCGGCTAGGTCGGCTGCATTTCTCTGGGGACCAGGGGGGGGTGGGGCAGGGGGACCTTTGGGAACACAGCAGGGTCGATGCTCATACAGCGGCGCCGGAAAGCGTTTTGGTGCTCTCCTTTACGAAGCAGGTGCTTGTGATGATTCCGAGCGTGTGCAGTTTGGCGAGTAGGCCTGACGAATGGTTCGTGGTAGCCATGCTGAGGGTGAACGCCAAAACCTAGAGGGGCAGTCCAGACACAGCTGTGCAGACTTACCCCGATGTAGAATCGAGGTCTGGTATATATGGCCTCACAGAGAGAGAATATGGTGTGACAACGCTTCTCCGCAACCGCCCAGGTTAGCCATACAGGTTTTAATTGCCAGCAAGTAGCATAGGTGACATACACCCCCTGGACCGCTTTTCAACGCTCGATTTCTCCATAGCACAAGGGGTAACCTCACCAATAACGGCGGCATGGAAACCGTCTCGTCTAGAGCTTTCTGAAAACGTTTCGTTTCATGTATGCATCCTCTTCGTCGTGGAGTAGTCAAGCTTTGAAGATCGGTCCAGGGGCGGTGGGATCTTGTGTCACCTACCGTAGTTTGGTTACTCCTCGGTTGTGCTGAACTGTGAAGGGCCTCCTTCTTCCCTCACGCATGTGTACCCACACCAAACTGCATCGTGTTCGGCGTTTGACCGAGACCCGCAGGGAGCACAGGACGTTAGGGAACGCGCGATCGCCGTGGGAGTGCCAAGAGCACAAGCTGATAGGGTGTGGGCGGCGACTTTCCACTCCTTCGCTGCTACGGTGCTCAAGCAAAACGGTCACCTTTTGTGGTGAGAAAGAAACCGCTGTTCATGCACTCGAGTCTAGCATTCGATGGTGCATACCATGGTATTTGGAAGTATTTCTTTTGACTATGACTATGTTCGTAGTCGCCGGTCTGCCTAGTGCACGTCGACGGGTGGTCCTTGCAACAGAATTCGCGCTGGTAAATCTGTACTTTTGAAGCTACATCCTGCGACATTCGGACCGAACCTGAACAGTAGATATTTCTCGGTACTGTATGAGAACCAATTTTTTTCATGCAACATTCAAAGGCTGTGCCTCGAGCTACTTCTCGCTTGGCATACTCTTGAGCGTGCTCTTGAGCGTGCTATATCGGGGGGTTTCTGCTGTAATTACTGTGTGTACTTTGACTCGAGCGGCCGTTGATATGTCCGGCCCTCCAACCGAGTGCGCCGGAACGATACAAAGCAGACCGTCTTGCCCACTATTTATTTATTTCGATAGGCCGGAATTGGAGGAATCAGACCTAGGCTGGTCTGCAGCTAGCTCGAAGCGGCGTGCGACTTTCGGCTTGGACATGATCGGCCATGCCGAACAGGTCGATCTCGTTGCAAGGCTTCTCAGAGATTCGGATAGGGTGGGGTGGGATAGCCGCGACGACCGTGCTGTTCCGTCATACAAAGGTGACGCTGCGTTCGAGGGACCTTGGTCGGCAACACGAGGCGGTAGGAGCGATGGGTCTTGGGGCATGCTGCCCACGAAGGAGGAACGGGGAAAGGAAGCGGCGCAACGGAGGAAGGAGTTGGAGACGAGGTTGGTGTTAATGAAACCGTGTGTGGAGGAAGTCGTCTCACATGCGGCAGTACTCCGTATCGGGCGTAGACCGTAGATAGAGAAATCCAGTGTGTTCTAGCCGTGTTCTGCGCTACCACAAGGTGAACCGCGCTGGGGCTACGTAGATACCACAGGCTGTCTTGGTGCGGTTGGATGCGGCGAGAGGACGCATGCGTACCAAGTGGTTTTGGTGAGCAGCACAGCACCGCAAGAAATCTTGTTTTCTTCTCCAGTAAACAAACCACTGCTGTCTGCGAGTAACTGAAATGGCGGTCCAAATGCCCTTCGTTGTTTGAGATGACCGGGCGTTCGGAATGGTCCCGGCAAGAGGGAGCTGTGACATGGAGTGTTCGCTTTACCAGCGAAAGGACTTCTTGAATCCCGCGGGAAGGCCGTAAATGACTTCCACCGGGTTGTTGCAATCCTTGCGACTCTCTCTTGCGTCTCGGGCCTTGTTCGCCCTATGCGTCCGTCGTCGATGTTGCTATCCCGTCCAACGCGTGCGATGCACGTTCACCCCGAAATACACCTTGCGTGTTAGTCGGATTAATTCTTCCGAACATGTCCTCTTAATGTGGTAGACTCTCCTCTTTTTGGTTTGACCACGTCTCCGCACCTCTGCATCCTTCCACTGTGTGACCCTGCTGCTCCCCACTGCTGCGACGCAACAACAACAAAAATGTGCAGAGCAAAAACCGTGCTTTCAAGGATCGGAGTTTGGAAGGAGCAAGGCATCACCGTCGAAGAGCATCGTTTAAGAAATGTGAGTGTCGCCAATTGGAGTTGGGTTCATGGGGCAGGGGGACGATGGGATGCACACAAGCAGGCAGGTATACAGACAAACAAGCAGGCAGGCGTTCTTGTTTTCTGGCAGGTCCTCAGAGAATCAAGTCAGTGAGAACTGGTATTCTTGACAATGCGCCAAATCCAAGCTTGCACAGGGCCGCGGAGGGCTCGATATCCGCCGCCCGACCCCATCGGCAGTCCCTCTCGTTGAGCGCCTACGGTAGATGCTGGTCCTCCTTCCTCACACACAACCCCCACTCCGGGCTAGTGGGAACAATACTCTGTCCTGTTGAGGACGCGTGGTCAATGGTCTAACCGCTAAGGAATGCAAGACATGAGAGTACCCCCTTCCC